TATACTGCTGCTTCACATCTAAACCTTTCAGCAGCCTGTTTTCTTCCAGCTCCAAGATGTGATAAAGTCAAAGGAGACCATTCTGAGGAATGGGAAGGAAGTATTTATCCTTGGCAGCAGCAATTTAGGGACATATGTAATATTTAATGTGTAGAATCATAGAGGCTCAATACATACTTGAACATCCCTACTGAGCATGTGTTCTTAAAATCCTTTCCTTGTAGCAATAGGACGAGGGGTGATGAGTTCAAACTGAACCAGGGGAAGTTCAGGTTAGTTCCAAGGCAGAAGCTCTTCCCTGGGAGGGTGCTGAGGTGCTGGCACAGGGTGCCCAGAGAAGCTGTGGCTGCCCCATCCCTGGCAGTGTTCAAGGGCAGGTTGGACACAGGGGCTTGGAGCAACCTGCTCTAGTGGAAGGTGTCCCTGCCCGTGGCAGGGGGTTGGAACTCGATGAGCTTTAAGGTCCTTTCCAACCAAAACCAGTCTGGGATTCTGTGATTCACTAAAACGGAGAGGTTGGTCTTTTGCACACTAATACTGGCAACTTTTGAGCTATCCAGAGAAGTCATCATCATTTCATTTTTGCCTCCCATTTTTGTGCAGGGTGTCACTTCTGACCTGTTCAGTTTAAGAAATACATGGAATAGAACATGTTTTAGAAAGACTGTAAGACTCTTAATGTTTGTCTTTCTGTAACACAAAAATACATCACCAATGCCTTGGAAGTCCTACTGCCCTATTCTTACAAATTACTGCATAACTATTTTAAAGTACAGAGCATGGTTTAACAATAAACATGGAAAAAGCAGTGATATTCTTGAGACACTTCCAAGCATAAAGTAGGACACAGACATGTTACCTAAGAATATAATCTCAATTTAAACATGTAATCCCTTCAATTAACTCTTGCCATAAGTATATAATGCTGCGCAGTTCTGCAGTTCAGAATGAACACTTTTTGGGGAGCAATTTTTATTCTTTTTCATGATGTTTTTAGGAGCTTTGCTTAAACATAAGAATTATTAAAGGGTTCACTGTAATTACCAAGTTTGATTTACCAGGACTTTCATCTGTGATCATTACCAAAACAGCACTTCAGTGCAAAACAAAGGGTATGTAGCTGCAGCCTCCAACGAGAAGAGAAGCCTCCCAGGGTACTCTTCATCTGCCACGGGTATTTTGAACCAGTTACCAGTTTCACCTATAAAGTTACCCTCCAGGCACTTAATTGCTTGGTAACTAAGCTCTGCGTATCCGACACAACTGATTTTAGTAGCTTTGTGAAGGAGCACAGAACCAGGCACAGGGAAGTTTTCCCTTCAGTTGTCATCTAATTCTATCTGCCTAAACTGCCTAAACCACCTAAACCAAATGCTACCTCCGAGATGTTTTTTTTTCATGCAAAGATTGTGTTGTCTGCAAAAGAAGGGTGCAAAGTTTTTAAGTTCTGCTCTACATTTAAACATTCCTACAAGTTTTGGCCTGTTTGGATTCAGTTCATGTGTTTGACTCTTTGTAATCAATCTACTATCTGTGGTGTCATAATCTCTGAAGCCCAAGTCGATGTGCCAAGAAGTGGACTCAAATTTTCACAAGGCAAGGGTTGGATCCAAGTCTCGGTTTTATCTGCTGCCTTTGCACAAGATGATCTAGAAGGTAAAATATAGACACTAGGACATGGATTTCTTTTCCTTTTTCAGAGAGGTTTCTGTAAGTTGAGGGAAAATTATGTTGTATTTTGATTTTTCTTGGATGGCTTATCCCCAAGATGGCTTGCACCCAGATTCTTCTAAACTTTTCACTTCTCAGCAGTATAATGTCTCATGTCGGAAGGATAAAGGCTCATGTCAAGAAGTATTGCAGAACACAGTAATCTGCACATGCATTAACAGTGCAGAATTACTGATGACGACAGCTACAAATAACCTATGGGAAACAGGAACAGCAATTGTTTATTCAGGGATACTTCCTGTGGCTCTGCAGTTCATCCAGGTCCACAAGCTCTGCTTCTCACAGAATGTTAATCTCTCTTTCTGTCATTTTGGATTTCTTGTCAACAGATAACCCAAGCCTAAGTTGGGCTTAAGCCTAAGTTTTGTAAACAAGTAAGCTAAGACTCACACCTTCTACTCAACAGGACGAAAAAAGCCAGACCAGAAGGCGTTATGTAAAGACCAACAGATGGGTCAGGTACAAGTTTACATCCTTATCATTGACCATATTTGAGAGAAGCAAACCCAGGAAGTGCTGCCTGTTATCAGACCTGCATGTACTGCTCTGCCACGTACACCTTACCGGTATGAACTGTCCCAGCAGCACACTAAGATACATTCTCATTTCCCACCTATTTTATTTTCTGGCTTAGGTGTTTTTTTTGGTCATGTCAAGATCAAAATCATGCCTATGCTATAAAGTACTTCCAGCAGCAATGCCAACCTATCATACACATAGTTCTTTGAGACTCTGATAGAATAGAGTGGGGGAAAACCCCCACCTTTTGAAATAGCGCTGATTTTTCTCTCAAAGCAGTCAGATACATTATGTATTACAACTATCTGAATCAGCATCTGCAGATGGCACTGAGTTCAGCAATTCTTACAGATCTGAAAGGTAAGGAGGGGTGTGTTACTTGTTTTAATCAAAGCATTCACAGACAAGGACTGATTTGCTTTGAGAACAGCCATTCTGTGTACCACGTAAGTAGTTTTCACAGTATAGGTTCAAATGTGATTTACTTTATCTGAATATCACTCATGGTGCATGGATTTGTCATACAAGGAGCATGGCTTGTATATTGTCTCCTGTATGGACAGGAAAGCATTAAGCAAAAGCATAAATAGATGCTGGATAACAAAGTGTACGATTGTCATTGCTTACATCAGTTCTGAGATTTAAGATAGCCCTCAGGATATCCAGTGTTCATCTGAAAACATGCAGTCACTCATCAGGGCTGCTACTTAGCACATTTTAGTGACATGCAGCTGAATCCTACTGAACGACAGCTTTATCACTCACAAAAGGAGTCAGAAGTTTGGGTTTGGTTTTGATTTTTTCTTTTTTCCTTTTCAGTTTAAGCAGATCAGCAGAAAAATTAACATTGGAACTTCCTATCTGAAACTTCACACCTCTCTCCCATTTTGGATGGAGTCTTGGGTTGACACGGTTTAGTGTGAGGTGTCCCTGCCCATGGCCAGGGGCTTGGAAGTGATGATCTGAAGGTCCTTTCCAACCCAAACTGGTCTGGGATTCTATGAATAGGAAAAGCAGGGAGAGGACAGTAACTCGGTGGTGATGAGTTATAATCTGGCTACAACATTTTGAAGTGCAGCTGGTCCTAGATGAAGCCAGGGGGAAAACCAGTAGGCATTGGAAAATTATTTGGGAAATGCTGGTAAAAGAATAACCACCATTACCACTGAACCCACATGAATCCTCATAAAGATGGCACACTACACCCATACCTCTGGGCAGGTATCATTAAGGGGACAAGTCCCAGCTGCTGCTGGTACCTAATCCCAAGGTCACCAGTAATAATAATATTATCATAAACCAAAAATAATTCTCTGAAGCAATAGTATTTTCTAAGATGTTATTTATTCCACCCCAGAGCACCATCCAACAGCAGGGGGGCCCATGGAGTCCCTCCTGCAAATGAAGAGATCTGTCCTAAGACACAAACCAAGTTTAGAAATCTGTAGCACTGTGAAAGGACGGACAAATAAATAGAAACAGCTTTTCTGGTTATTCAGCTGACAGGCCTCTGCAAACCATGAAGTGGAGAATCAGCTGATAAAACCTTTCCTTCAAAGGAAATGGCCAAAATGCTAAAGAAACAGAACAAAATACAGAATTGTATTTTTATCTATATTATTAATATAGAAATGGGAGCAATTTGTATTCTCCTTAAGTTAGTGAAAGTCAGTGACTAGCAGCAATTTATATAGCACGGGATTTTAGGGCTCTCTTGTTGCAAAAGCCTGACAGAGCCTGGTAGAGGGGGCTGCTTTCATCCATCAGGATGTGCAGCTTTATATTAGGTTAATATATGGATGAATGCACCCTTCATGGCAACAGCAAAGATAAAGCTAGAGTAAGAACAAAGAAAAACTAACAGAAATGAAAAATGAGAACTGCAGCTGTCAATATAAAGAAGCTGACAATATCCACAGGATACTAAACTACTGTAATAAACTTGTGCTGGAAAAGCATGTGCGAAACAGTGGGCTACAATTTCCTTTATTTGTCAGAGTGGAAGAAGCTACAAGGAAATCATCATAATCTAATGCAGATGTAGGTCTTTAATGATTAACAAAAATAATGTGTCATTTATTCAAAACTAACATAATAATAGTCCTAAAATCTTACCGTAGTTCTCATGGGGAAAAAAGATTTCTTTTTCTTGGTTTACAGCTGTAGGCTTTGCCTAAGTATTCCACAGTAACTGCATTTTAAGAGATTGAGTGGGTTCAGATTCAGTGCTCTCAAATCCTACTTGAGATTCAGTATTATCAAATACTAAATCCCACAGTGCTTTTTAAAATGTTAGCCTCTACTACACCTGTCTGTACAGCTGATACCCACACTCACTTGAAGGGCAGAGAACTGATGTTAGCTCAAGGCATTGGGGCAAGATGTTAGATAAGGCATTCACACTTTTCCAAGGAGTGGGAAACAAGTTGGGATTTAAAAAAGAAGACCAGTCATGTTTCTACTATTAAAAACTTCCTTATCTCTTCTAAACAATATAATTTTACATTACACACCTTGTAAACAGAGAAATCCTGGCAGAAAGAACTCTCATATGAAATAGTGCCTGTAATCCAGAGCAAAGAGACAGGTGTCTGACACTGATCCAGATGTTTGTTTCCTCTAAACTAGGTGTGTGCACACATAAACTATTTTCTGAACAGCAAATTGACTCATGAGAGCTAATTGTTGTAATGAACCCCAAACGAGGGAAATGAAGCTAATATTCCCTAGGAACAAAAAAGAAATGTTCCTCAAAACTCATCTTTAATGTTGAAATGTGGCTGATCTTCAGGTTTGAAGTCTAGATTGGGGCTGCCATCCTCATTCAGGATTCGTCGAGAAGTATAGCCAACAATTGGATATTTGGCCTTATAAACATTATTGAAGATATCATCCAGGGACTTCAGCTCCTCTTCTGTGAGCCCTGTCTGAATGAAAGACGGAAATGAAAGTCCTGTCTCAAAGAAATCAAAATACAGGTATTTATATGTATTTTTCTTTTTTATTGATTACTATCAACCCTGTGGTCAGCTCTGGGGTTTACTTTGCAGAGTGTGATTAACAAAATTGACAGTATAATCTGTAATTTTATTCTTTTCGTTCAAATTCAGCCGTGACAAAACTTTTCATATATTCAGGTCAAACAAACCATTCATCTCCCTTGGTTTTTCCTGCAGAAGTAAATCACCTCAAACAAGCAACGACCCACTGCCAGAGGCAATGTTCACTGCCAAGTCAGTGACACAGGATACACTAAATCAATTGAAAAAGAAAGGGATTTACTTGCTTTGGAAGCATCTTTTTAAACAGCCGGTAATTTCTCCTTTTTGTGCTTAGGTAGGTTGTATTGATTGCAGAGATTAAAACCCTTCCTCTTTAAGGCTGTTAGCACTGCACCCTTTGTGGGCAGTAAATACATATCCATTTGATGTAGTTCAAGAATATTGATGCATTTGGGTTTTAAATATAGAAATCAACTTTAAATTAATACAAGTAATTTAATAGCATCACTCATCATCTTGCTAAAGAACAAAACTCTGCAAAATGGAATTAAATAGTCTATTTTCTTACTATGTCGTGTGTAAGATCTGCTGGATCCAGAGACATCTTTGCAACTCCTCTTGTTGAGTCTTTCCCAACCAAAGCATTGTATGGGGCTCCTTTTCCATAAAATTCTGTCAGATAAATCATAACAATACTCCAGTGATGATCGGACACTGTACAGGGTATGTTCAGTGTTCAGGGTATTTCAGCCTCTACCTTCCCCCCGCCTGTTACACTTGTCAGTGAACTGAAAGCAACAGCTCAAGTCTAAAACTCTTCTTTCCAAAACTGACTTTTGATGTGTTACTTTTTTATAATATATCCCAGTCCCTAAAACCAAAACAAAGCAGAGGGTGGGTTCTACAATACAACTGTTGAACTCCTACGCTGCACTCTTTAAATTTACCTGTTCCATAGGCAGCTGTGCTTTATGTTCTTGTGAGAGGTTCGCAGACCCAGAATTTGCAGTGGCAAGCCTTGCCTAACTTAGGATTTGAAGGGAAACCAACATCTATGTCCAGGCAAGCAGTATTAACAAGCTTAGGACAAAGCAACAGGCCATTAGTTGGCTTATGATGACATTAAGGCAGGTGTCCAGGGCCCCCATGGTCCCTTCAAACATTTTACAGCAAATCGGGATGAAGTATCAAGAGTTCAAATGAAAACATCTGTAGTTCTTAGGGAAGGCACAAACTGCAGATACAGCACTAAACAGCTGAGGTGTAAATGATGAGACAAGAAGCCTCATGGAGTAAGAAAACACATGTGCACGGGTGGGCACACACCAGCACAGGAGGGAAAGATGCTGACACTGTGTAGTGCAATATGGGTACACCCAGGTTAGCTGTGGTCTGGTCAGTTGATGCGTCCAGTGCAACACAGTCCTGTGGCACAGCCATGTGTGGTTGACCCTGCTTCTGGTGAAGGTCTGGGCAGGGGCCTGCAGCACCCAATTTAACTGGGCTACACTGGTTTGTCCACATGTACTATAATCTCACACCAGTGTAAAATGCAGACAAAACCTTAGTGGGGGAGATGTCAGAGGAGAAAA